CAACCAGGAATCCCTGAAATGGAAGCGTGTTTGGGCCTTGCCTTTTCACTCTAGTGAAAGCAGTACAAGCCATGCTGATTATGACCTGATCCTGTAGTTAGATAAGACTTAGCTTCTTATTCCTGCTTTACCACTTATTAACTGAGTGACATTAGGCAAGTTATCTTTCTGCTATAAAATGTCCATAGTAGTATTATCTACTTCTACACTCAGAAGCATTAAAAGAGATAAACTGTGTAAAAGTACTCAGTACATCATAGTTGAACATCTGCTACGCTCTCCTCTTCCTTCTTCTTCTCCATCATCAGTACTCTGATATTAATATGATTCAGAATTTTCCATGCTTCTCCTCTCAGTCTGTTTTCTTGCCTGTTGAATTAGCTTTCAATCAGGTCTTGTCTTCAACTCATAGTTGTGGTTTCTTCATAACTTTATTTTGCTTATAATTCCACACTATATTCTTTCGTGGTTTAGTTGCCTCTGCCAATGTACTTAGTATCTCTCTAAATGTCCTAAATCAAACTCCAAGAGGAAGAATACATCCTTGTTGTTTATCCTTTGAGTGGAGCCTCTAATATCAGCTCATACCTTAGGCTGGTCTGTGATTCTGTTAAGTTCAGGTGAATAATGTGTTGAAACCCATGGTCTATCTGGTGCTGGCTAACAGAGCCAGTGGTGGGACATTTTACTCAGCGGGCAATGATCATGGCTGCCACATGCCTACTACATCTAAACAAATAGACATAAAAAGTTAAGATTCAATGACTTACCAGAGTATGTACTAGTAAGAGTATGTAGAACCAGAGTATGTAGTAAGGCTGGCTCTTGAATAATGATCTTGTGTCTCCCAACCCAATACTCTTTTGAATAGACTTTAAATATTCCGGGTATTCATGAAATTTTTGCAGCATCATAAAGTTGCTACGTAAAATATTCTCTAATGTTGCCACTTATAAATTTTTAATAAAATCCTTAAGTATCAGAATTTTAGTATTTATTGTTTTAATATAAACATAATTATATTTTGTGTCTTGAAGAACAATTATTTATTTCAAAATGTCTTATTTATAATTTGAATTCTATTGACTTGTTCTTTTTGTCTTAACTTTTCCCAGGCTGCTAAGTTGGATATCACAGTGCAAGCTTTGGGGTCCCAATGGGGGACTCTGGATCAAGACGATCTACCCTGGTCTCCAGGTTGCCAATATTCAGAAGAAGTATTAGCAGAAGACATGATTCTCTTCCTTCTTCACCTTCCTCCAGTAATACAGTTGGTGTCCACAGTTCCTCTCCTTCCAGCACGAACTCAAGCTCAGGTAGTACAGGGAAACGCAGGAGCATATTCCGAACTCCTTCCATTAGCTTCCACCATAAGAAGGGGAGTGAACCTAAGCAAGAACCTACCAACCAGAACCTTAGTATTTCAAATGGTGCTCAAGCTGGTCACAGCAGTATGCAAAAACTGACTTCGGAAGAACATATTAAAACCAGGGGAAGACATTCTGTTGGTTTTAGTAGTTCAAGAAATAAGAAGATAACAAGATCGTTGACAGAGGATTTTGAAAGGGAAAAGGAGCACTCAACTAATAAGAATGTCTTTATAAATTGCTTAAGTTCTGGCAAAAGTGAAGGGGATGATTCTGGATTCACAGAAGAACCAACTCGCCGTTCTGTTAAGCAGTCAACAAAGAAGCTGCTTACTAAATCCTTTTCCTCTCACTATAAATTTTCTAAGCCAGTTCCACCGAGCCAGTCCACTTCATTGGTACAGCAGTCTGAATTCTCATTGGAAATTACACAGTTCCAAGAGAGAGAACCTGTACCAGTAAGAGCTTCTCCATCTTGCTCTGTGGATGTAACAGAACGGGCAGGAAGCTCTTTACCATCTCCATTGCTTTCTGCTGATCTTACCACAGCTCAGACACCTTCAGAGTTTTTAGCCTTGACTGAAGATTCTGTCTCTGAAGCAGATGTATTTTCTAAAAGTGGAAGCATGGCATCCCACTGTGACAACTTTGGCCACAATGATTCTACCTCTCAGATCTCTCCCAATCCTGCTGCTGTTACAAAGGCAACAATAGACCGTATAGGAACTGTTCCCTGTGCAATTATGTCTCCTGGGAAATATAGGTTAGAAGGTCGATGTAGCACTGAATCTAATTCCTTACCAGAAACCTCTGCTGCTAATCAGAAGGAAGTGTTATTGCAAATCTCTGAACTCTCTGTTACAAATGGGAGTGACTTAGAGAATCACCTATCAGCAGATACTCAAGGAGAAGAGCATATGGTATTACAAAACGGTGATACAATGTTGGCAACAAGCTCCCCAAGGAAACTTGGATTTTATGAGCAACATAAAGCAATAGCTGAACGTGTTAAAGGGATTCATCCTATATCAGATTCAAGGATAATACCTTCTTCTGGTGATCGTCATATTTTTAACAAAACATATGGATATGATGCAAATCCTGCCAAAGGTATACTGATTTTCTTTGTATAAATTATAATTTTTATTATAATTATTCAATTTTCTTACTCCATGTCATTAATTGAAACCACATTTTCCTTTTTTTACTCTAATATTCTTTCCTGTTTATAATTTGAAATTTGTTCACTATTTGATCTTAAGCTTACATTTTGCTAAAAATGTAGTTCAGCAATATTACTCATTTTTCTTAGTTGTGTTATCCAGAATCTGACCCTCAGAAGAAAGTGGAAGAAAACAAATTTTATTTTCCATGTGGCTTTATCTAAAGCAAGGATTGTCTTTTTTAGAGTTTATGGATGATTGATATTTCTTAATTATTGTAATGAATATATTCCACTATGACTACTACTACTACTGCTACTGCTACTACTACTACTACTAGTAGTAGGTCTCCCAACATTGAAAGATTTTTCTGTCCCACTCACTGTCCTGTGCTCTTTAGATACACTAATTCATTTAGTCCTCAAATCATTGAAATCACTCCTCTTGTTATAGCACACTGTACAGGCAAAACAGTTGGAGCACAGGTAGGTTAAGTAATGTGTCCAAAGTTACAAATTGTATGTAATTGTTCTGGACACAAACCCCATGAGATAGGCACTAGTATATTTCCCAGTTAACAAACATGAAAACTAAAATCAAGAGACCATAGAGCTGTTAAGAACGGGCAGGAAGCTCTGTACAATCTCCATTGCTTTCTGCTGATTTTACCACAGCTCAGACACCTTCAGAGTTTTTAGTCTTGACTGAAGATTCTGTTTCTGAAGCAGATGTATTTTCTAAAAGTGGAAGCATGGCATCCCACTGTGACAACTTTGGCCACAGTTAAAGCTATCTCAATCCAAAGCTCAGGTTCTTAATGGCCAGGCTGTAAGACAAATATGACCCTGGCTCTTTCTAAAACATTAAGAATAATAATAATAAAATATAAAATAAGATTTATAAGTCAAATTGTATATTATAATGTTATGAATCATAACATTCTATGATTTATCTAACTAGTCCCTCCATGATTAATTTTAAACTTTTAAATCCATGAAGTAATTGTTCAGTGATATAATTATATAGCTTAGTGTTTTTTTATATTTGATATAAGATCATTTTTATGTATCCGCCTACTTTTTTGTTCTTTTTCTATTCATTTTGTCCATTCTGCATGTTTATAATTATAATATGAAATAAAATTATCTGACCTAGTGAAGCTGTGCATAAGTTATCCTCAATATTTTCATGTAAAAAACATTGTAAAAATTAAAGGAACATTGTGAAATACAAAGGAAATAATTGCTTCTAGTCTGTCAGAATTATCAAATATTGACATTTTGGCATTTTATTTCCAGACTTTTAGCTATAGCTACATTTTAAAAAATTATAGAAATTATTTTAAGTGAATTTAATATATTACATTGTTTAATAAAACCATATGGGTTTCAAGTATACAACTTAATAAGACACCATCTGTATACCGAATCGTGCACTCACCACCCAAAGTTTCTTACCACTACCATTTGTTCTCTTTTTGCTCTCTTCTGCCTCCCCACATCCCCTTTTCCTTCTGGCAATCACCAAACAACCTTCTCTCTGAGAGCTGTCAGTCTGTTCTCTGTATCTATGAATCTGTTTCTATTGTGTTTATTTTGTTTCATTAAATCCCACATAAAGGTTGTTCCAAAATTCATGCAAGAAGTAATTTTGATAGAAAACACAGGTTTATAATTAAAAATTGTAATTTTTTATTGATTCATAAAGTATATAGTATAGGGTCATGTATGGAATAGCATATCAGGTAAATGGCCTCCACGGCTTTGCTGGCACATATGCACTCTTTTGTTGAAATTTTCCATGACCGTTTTGCATAAATGTGGCTGATGAGGCTCATTTTCATCTTGATGGCTTGGTTAATCTACAAAATTGTTGCATTTGGGGTTCAGAAAATCCACGAGTGATTGTTGAAAAACAAATGCATTCGCAACGTGTCACTGTTTGGTGTGGATTTTGGGCTGGAGGCATCATCGGACCATTCTTCTTCGAAAATGCGGCTGCTCAGGCAGTAACAAAAGAGTGCATACGTGCCAGCAAAGCTGTGGAGGCCATTTACGCTATATGCTATTCCATACATAACCCTATACTGTATACTTTATGAAGCAATAAAAAATGTACAATTTTTAATTATAAACCTGTGTTTTCTATCAAAATTACTTCTTGCGTGAATTTTGGGACACCCTTTATAAGTGAGATCATATGGTATTTGTCTTTCTCTGACTGGCTTATTTCACTTAGCATAATACTCTCCAGGTGCATCCATGCTGTCACAAAGGGAGATTTCCTTCTTTTTTATGGCTGAGTAGTATTCCATTGAGTAAATGTACCACAGCTTTTTTATTCACTCAACTACTGATGGTCACTTGGGCTGCTTCCAGATCTTGGCTCTTATAAATAATGCTGCAATGAATATAGAGATACATATATTCTTTCATATTAGTGTTTTGAGTTTCTTACGAAGTATTTTCAGAAATGGGATAGATGGGTCATGACACAGTTTCATTTTTTATTTTTTGAGGCAACTCTATACTGTTTTTTACAGTGGCTGCTCTAATCTGTACTCCTATCAACAGTGCATGAGGGTTCCCTTTTCTCCACATCCTCCACAACACTTGTTGTTTGTTGATTTATTGATGATAGCCATCCTGACAGTTGTGAGGGATAGCTCATTATAGTTTTAATTTTTCTTATGATTAATGATATTTGAATCTTTTTATACATCTACTGGCCATCTGCATGTACTCTCTGGAGAAGTGTCTATTCAGGTCCTTCGCCCATTTTTAAATTGGGTTGTTTATTTTCTTAGTATGGAGTTATATAAATTCTTTATAAATTTTGTAAAGTAACCCCTTATCAGATATATCACTGGCAAATATGTTCTCCCATTCAGTGGGTTGCCTTTTCATTTTATTGATAGTTTCCTTTGCTTTGCAGTTTGATGTAGTCCCATTTTAATTTTATTTTAAATTTTGTTTCCCTTACTCGAGGAGATATATCAGAAAAAATATTGCTATGAGAAATGTTCAAGATTTTACTGCCTATATCTTCTAGGATTTTTAGAGTTTCACAACTCAAATTAAGTTTTTAATCCATTTTGAATTTATTTTTGTTATGGTGTGAGGAGGTGGTCTAGCTTCATATTTTTGCAATATTTTGTCCAATATTCCTAACAACATTTATTTAATAGACTGTCTTTATCCCATTATATATTCTTGTCTCCTTTTCAAATATTAATTGACCATAAAGGTATAGGTTTATTTCTGGGCTCTCTATTATGTTCCATTGATCTATATGCCTGTTTTTATGCCAGTACCATGCTGTTTTGATTAACATGGCCTTGTAGTATAACTTGATATCAGGTAGCGTGACACCTACAACTTTGTTCTTTCCAATATTGCTGAGGCTCTTTGGAGTCTTTTGTGGTTTCATATAAATTTTTGGAATATTTGTTCTAACACTGTGAGATGTGCCATTGCTATTTTAATAGGAATTGCATTGGATTTAGAGATTGCTTTGGGTAGTATGGACATTTTAATGATATTATTTCTTCCTATCCATGGACACAGTATATGCTTCCACTTATTTGTATCTTCCATCCTTTCTTCTTTTTCTGACCAAAGGTCTTTTACCTCCTTGGTTAAATTTATTCCTAGGGAACTTATTTTTTTTTGTTGTTGTTGCAATTGTAAATAGTATTGTTTTCTTAATTTCTATTTCTGATTATTCATTGTTGCTTTATAAAAATGCCATAGATTTCTGGGCATTAATTTTGTATCCTGCTGCATTGCCAAATTCATTTTATCAGTTCAAATAGGTTTTTGGTGGAGTCTTTAGGGTTTTCTATCTACAGTAACATGGAATCTGCAAACAATGACAGTTGTACTTCCTCCTTTGCAATTTGGATGCCTTTTATTTCTTTTTATTTGACTGCTGTGACTAGAACTTCCAGTACTTTGTTGAATAAGAGTGGTGAAAGCAAACATCCCTGTCTTGTTCCTGATCTTAAAGGAAACACATTTATTTTTTGTTCATTGAGTATGATGTTGGTTATGGGTTTGTCACATATGGCCTTTATTACATTGAGGTATGTTTTTTCTATTTCTACTTTGCTGAGAATTTTTATCATAAATGGGTGCTGGATTTTATCAAATGCTTTTTTTATATGATCATGTGATTATTCTTCATTTTGTTTATGTGATGTATCATGTTTAATAATTTGTGAATATTGTACCATCTTTGCATTCCTGGAATAAATGCTACTTGACATGGTGTATGATCTTTTTAATGTATAGCTGAATCTGATTTCCTAATAT